TATTTGTTTGCAGATATAATTTTAGATAATGAAGAAATTAAAGAATTAAAAGAAGAAATGGTTCATTCAAAATTAGATAGAAAAATGATAGAACTAATGAAAAAGAAAGAACTAGAACAGTTGGTTAATGACAAAAAAGATTTGGAAATTCAATTATCAAAATACCAAATAGAATACCAAAAATTACAAAATCAAAATGATGAATTTAAAAAAATAAGTCAAATCAAAGAAAATAAAGTGGTATTATTAAATGAAATAAATGAAAAGGTTCAAAACGAAATCAATGAGTTAAAAGAAAAAGAAAAGATTCAAGAAGAAGAAAATAATAAACTTCAACATGAAATTAAAAATCATTTAAAAACTATAACATCATTAACTGACAAAATAGAAATATTTAAAACAGAAAATACTAAAATAGAAAATTCAATTCAACAAAAAGAAAAAGAAAATGAAGTAATGAAAGAAGAAAATAAAAAGAAGGAAAAAGAAATAGAAGAAATCAAAAAGGAAAAGGAAATTACTATAGAAGAACTAAATCAAGAAATTAAAAAGAAAATCGAAGATTTTGAAAAAAGAATTAAAGAACATGAAATAATTCAAAGTAATCAAATAATAATAATTAAAGAAAAAGATCAAAACATTTGTGAATTGAAACAAAACATCGAAAAAATGAAAAGAGTAATTGAAACACCAATGAAAGAAAATGAAGAAAATTTACAAAAAATTGAAGTACTAAAGAAAAAAGAAGAAGAACTAAACAATAAATTACAATTAATTGAACAAGAAAAAACAAAAGAAATAAAAGAATTAGAAAATGAAAAATTAAATTTAAATAAAGAAATGGGTATTAAAATTCAACAATTAAAAGAAGAATTAGAAAACGAAAAAAAAGAAAATGAAAAAATGAAAGATTTTATTAAACAAAAAGAAATTGCACTTCAAAAAGAAAAAGAAGAAAAAGAATGTATTATACAACAAAAAATAAGAGACGAAAAAGAAAAAATTAATGCACAAGAAAGTATTAGAAAAATGGCAGAAAAAATAGTTCAACAAAAAATTGAAGAAAATCAAAAGAAAAATATTTTAGAAAGTCTTGAAGAAGAAAGAAGAAATAGAAAGAAAATAGAAAATGAAAAAGAAATAATAGAAAAAGAGAAAGAAGTAATGGAAAAAGATATTAAATTATTTAAAGAAGAAATTGAAGAATTAAAGAAAAAAGATAAAAAGAAAATTGAAGATATAAAATTGATTGAATTAATAAAACAACCAACACCATATATTAATGAAAATAAAAAGGAAACAAAATTTACTCCTTATGGCTCTTTTGTTCTTAATAAAATCTTTCCAGAAAAACAACAAATTTCTCCTATTTTAAAAACAATTGCATTAGGACTTAAAAGTATTACATCGTTAACTAATACTCATTTAGAAAATGTGGTAGTTTGTTTTTTGGAAATGCTAATCATGAAAGGAGAAGTTTTAAAACCACAAAAAGGAGAGTTTCTTAGAATTGAATATCATGGAACTAATTCTCAAATTGTAAATGCATTATTTGAAGTAGTAGATATAGAAAATTCTATTACAATTGCTTATGCGTTAAGAGGAAAATCATTTAAATTAAATGCACAAGCAAAATTTGAATGGAAACAATCAAAAAGTAAATACATTGGAAAATTAACAAGTAAAGAATGGTTTATTAAAGGATATATTGAAGATAAATTTATTGAAATTATAATGCCACCAATGATTAATGGAAGGTTTAATGGTGATGGCTCTGTTATTTGTGATGATAAAATTAATATAAAAGTTCATCATGGAAAAGCAAGTGGAAATAATGGAAATATTAAAGTTGATGTTATTTTAAAAGAAAGTAAAATTAAAGAATTAAAAATTAAAATTGAAGGTGAAAGTAAAGAGACTCATGACTTTTATTCAGAAAGTGAAATATATTGTGTACCTATTTCATTACAACAAAATATGGAAGAAATGAAATTAATGAAACCAGTTTTTATTGCTGCTGAAAACGGTAGTGATTTTGAAGGAATATACAATATTATTCAAAAAAGGTGTGAAAAACAACCACTGGAATTACATTTTATTGAAGTTCAAAATGAGTGGAAATTAAAAATTGAAAATGTAGATGAAAAGAATTTGAAAAAAACTTATGAAAAGAATGGAATCATTGATGTTTTACCAGAGTCAATTGATAAAATCAAAGACAATGAATTGTTAAATGTTTTACAATCTTATCATGAACAAATTAAAACAATGGGTGAAAATGAAAATGATGATATTAAAGAAGTCACAGAAGAGTGCCAAAAAAAATTAGAAAAAATGGGAACAATTCTTCAAATAGTCGCTGTTGTTTCTGTTGCTTTAATGAGTATTGTGATTAATATGATGTTGTTTTAGGTAATAAAATTATTTTTATTATTTTATTTTTAATTAGATTTATTTCTTCTTCATATCTATTAAATCTTATTTTTTGTTATATATATTTTTTGTTTATATTCCAATTTGGTTAATACATTCTCTACTCTGATATTGTAATACTACAAACACTACACCCTTTTATCATCTCATGTGATTGTATTAATTTTAACCTATTTCTTCTATTGAATGATAAATCTTCATTTTATTCCTTATTTTGAATTCCTATTCTTCTTATTTGTTTTAAATACAATTTTCAGTCCTGTGTTCTTACTTTTCTTTCCTTTAGTTTGTTCTATTATATTTCTTACACATCTCCACAAATATCTTTTATAACTTTAATTTAACTCCTTAATTTACTACATCATTACATATTTTTAAAATCATTTTATTTCTTTCATTTATCTGAATAAACAATGTTTAAATGGAATGTCATAAATAATAGTTTAAAATAGGGATAAATGAGTGTATAAATTGAGCACTTTCATTTGATTATTTCAATATAAAAATGATAATCAAAGAATATTTAGATAAGCAAATTATTATATCATTCTCTTGATATTTTATTGATGTGGTTAAGTTAGTTTCGTTTAAAATTATTGAATATAGAAGATTGTTCGAACATCAAATATTGAAATATCTCATTTATTTTGAATTATAGTGTATAAAGAATTATATTCATGATATTGAAATGATATAAATAAATGAAACAATACATTTAAATATTGATATTTATGATAATGAAAATCAATTGAATATTGAAAATAATTATTATTGTACTTAATTAATATACATTATTTCATTCACTTATAAAAATAAAATATTTTATAAGTTGTTGACAAGAGAAATGATGAATATTAATGAAGAATAAAATAATTTATTTGATTCTTTTATTTTATTATTTGTTTATTTTCATAATAAATAACTATATTAATCAAAATATAATTATAATATAATGATATTGAAAATAAATAAGATATGAAACATTGATGGTTTGATAAAATAAAAAGAATAATAATATAATACACTAATTTTATTCTATTTTATACTTTACTTACATTATTATTCATTTAAATATATACAACTTAATTATCTATTTTATTTCTTAATATTTTCATTTATTTACAACATGTAATTGTATCAAATTGACATATTATTGATAATTAATAATTATTTTTCATTTTTATTCAACATAAAAACAAAGTATTAAAAATAACAATAGAACAGATAATGTACAATGAAAGTATATATGAAATAATGGTTATGATAAAAATTCAAAGAATAAATAAATAAATACTTGAATATGAGATGAGAATAACAGTAA